TATAGCGTTTGACCGACTCCGTCTCGTCCACGCTGTCCTCCATGTTCAGGAGGAACTCCTGCAGGAGACACAAACGTGACCTCAGAGGACGCCGGCGCCGCCACGGGGAGGACGGCGCCGTCGCCACACTGACGCCAAACGCTTACCTTGAAGCTCCGCATGACGGGAGGACCGGGAGGAGGGAGGTCCGGGTCCACGATCCCCAACCTGAACCAGAACAAACGGAGAGGTTAGAGAGGAGGAGGAGGAGAGAGGAGGAGGGGAGGAGGAGAGGAGAGAGAGGAGGAGAGAGAAGAGGAGAGGAGAGGAGGAGGAGGAGGGAGGTCCGGGTCCACGATCCCCAACCTGAACCAGAACAAACGGAGAGGTTAGAGAGGAGGAGGAGGAGGAGAGAGGAGGAGGAGGGGAGGAGGAGAGGAGGAGAAAGGAGAGGAGAGGAGAGGAGAGAGGAGAGAGGACCAGGAGGAGGGAGGTCCGGGTCCACGATCCCCAACCTGAACCAGAACAAACGGAGAGGTTAAAGAGGAGGAGGAGGAGGAGAGGAGGAGGAGGAGAGGAGAGAGGAGAGAGGAGGAGAGGAGAGGACCAGGAGGAGGAGAGGAGAGAGGAGGAGGGAGGAGAGAGGAGAGGAGGAGAGGGAGGAGGGAGATCCGGGTCCACGATCCCCAACCTGAACCAGAACAAACGGAGAGGTTAGAGAGGAGAGGAGGAGAGAGGAGAGAGGAGAGAGGAGGAGAGAGGAGAGGAGAGGACCAGGAGGAGGGAGGTCCGGGTCCACGATCCCCAACCTGAACCAGAACAAACGGAGAGGTTAGAGAGGAGGAGGAGGAGAGAGGAGGAGGAGAGAGGAGAGGAGGAGGGGAGGAGAAGAGGAGGAGGGGAGGAGAGAGGAGAGGAGAGGAGAGAGGAGAGAGGAGAGGACCAGGAGGAGGGAGGTCCGGGTCCATGATCCCCAACCTGAACCAGAACAAACGGAGAGGTTAGAGAGGAGGAGGAGGAGAGGGGAGGAGGAGAGGGGAGGAGAGAGGAGAGAGGAGGAGAGAGGAGAGAGGAGAGAGGAGGAGAGGAGAGGGAGGAGGAGAGAGGAGAGGAGGAGAGGAGAGGAGGAGAGGAGGAGAGAGGAGAGGAGAGGAGGAGAGAGAAGAGGAGAGGAGAGGACCAGGAGGAGGGAGGTCCGGGTCCACGATCCCCAACCTGAACCAGAACAAACAGAGAGGTTAGAGAGGAGGAGGAGGAGGAGAGGGGAGGAGAGGAGGAGGAGAGAGGAGAGGAGGAGAGAGGAGAGAGGAGAGGAGGAGGAGAGGAGGAGAGAGGAGAGGAGGAGAGAGAAGAGGACCAGGAGGAGGGAGGTCCGGGTCCACGATCCCCAACCTGAACCAGAACAAACAGAGAGGTTAGAGAGGAGAGAGGAGGGAGGAGGAGGAGAGAGGAGAGGAGAGAGGAGAGGAGGAGAGGGGGAGAGGAGGAGGAGAGGAGAGGAGAGAGGAGGGGAGGAGAGAGAAGAGGACCAGGAGGAGGGAGGTCCGGGTCCACGATCCCCAACCTGAACCAGAACAAACGGAGAGGTTAGAGAGGAGGAGGAGGAGAGAGGAGGAGGAGAGAGGAGGAGAGGAGGAGAGGAGGAGAGGAGGAGAGGAGGAGAGGAGGGGAGGAGAGAGAAGAGGACCAGGAGGAGGGAGGTCCGGGTCCACGATCCCTAACCTGAACCAGAACAAACGGAGAGGTTAGAGAGGAGGAGGAGGAGGAGAGGAGGAGAGGAGGAGAGGAGGAGGAGAGGAGGAGAGGAGGAGAGGTTAGAGAGGAGGAGGAGAGGAGGAGAGAGGAGAGGAGGAGGAGGAGGAGGAGAGGAGGAGAGGAGAGAGGAGGAGGAGAGGAGGAGAGAGGAGAAGAGAGGAGAGAGGAGGGGAGGAGAGGAGAGGAGGAGGGAGGTCCGGGTCCACGATCCCCAACCTGAACCAGAACAAACGGAGAGGTTAGAGAGGAGGAGGAGAGAGGAGGAGAGGAGGAGAGGAGAGGAGAGGAGGAGAGAGGAGGAGAGAAGAGGGGAGGAGAGGAGGAGAGGAGAGGGAGGAGGAGAGAGGAGAGGAGGAGAGGAGAGGAGGAGAGGAGGAGAGAGGAGAGGAGAGGAGGAGAGAGAAGAGGAGAGGAGAGGACCAGGAGGAGGGAGGTCCGGGTCCAAGATCCCCAACCTGAACTTGAACAAACGGAGAGGTTAGAGAGGAGGAGGAGAGAGGAGGAGGAGGAGAGGAGGAGGAGAGGAGGAGAGGAAAGAGGAGAGAGGAGGAGGAAAGGGGAGGAGGAGAGGAGAGAGGAGAAGAGGAGAGAGGAGAGGAGAGGAGAGGAGAGGAGAGGAGAGAGGAGAGAAGAGAAGAGAAGAGAAGAGAGGAGAGGAGAGGAGGAGAGGGGAGAGAGGAGAGAGGAGGAGGAGAGGGGAGGAGGAGAGGAGAGAGGAGAAGAGGAGAGAGGAGAGGACCAGGAGAGGAGAAGAGAGGACCAGGAGGAGGAGAGGGGAGGAGGAGAGGGAGGAGAGGGAGGAGAGGAGAGAGGAGGAGAGAGGAGAGGAGAGGAGAGGGAGGAGGAGAGAAGAGGGGAGGAGAGAGGAGGAGGAGGAGGAGGAGAGGAGGAGGAGAGGAAAGAGGAGGGGAGGAGAGGAGAGGAGGAGAGGGGAGAGAGGAGAGAAGAGGGGAGGAGAGAGGACCAGGAGGAGGGAGGTCCGGGTCCACGATCCCCAACCTGAACCAGAACAAACGGAGAGGTTAGAGAGGAGGAGGAGGAGAGAGGAGGAGAGGGAGGAGGAGAGAGGAGAGGAGAGAGGAGAGGGGAGGAGAGAGGAGGAGAGGAGAGGAGGAGAGAGGAGAGGAGAGAGGAGAGGGGAGGAGAGAGGGGCAGAGGGGGAGGGAGGAGGAGGAGGAGCAGGAGGAGGTATAGGTGTGTGTGAGTCTCGTTGTGCGTTTGCTGTGTGCTGATCCTCTGTGATTGACAGCTGTGATAGGCTCCGCCCCCCAGGACCTCGTATAACTGACCTTCCCTGCAGCGGGTGACCTCCCTGGTGAGGATGGAGGTGTGGGAGGTCAGGGTGCCAGCCCTGAGGCCCCGCCCCTGGAAACGGAGGCCCGCCTCCTCCTCCTCCATACGGCAGGTCAAAGCGGTACGGCTCCCCCCGGTGGTCGTCCCTGAAAGAGTGGGCGGGGTTATAAAGAGGAGCACTCAGAGATGACTGAGGAGAAATGAAGCGCTCCTCCCTCACCAGTCTCTCCTCCCTCCTCTCTCCTCCCTCCCTCTCCTCCCTCCCTCACCAGTCTCTCCTCCCTCCCTCCTCTCTCCTCCCTCCCTCCCTCTCCTCCCTCCCTCCCTCCCTCACCAGTCTCTCCTCCCTCTCCTCTCTCCTCCCTCCCTCCCTCTCCTCCCTCCCTCACCAGTCTCTCCTCCCTCCCTCCCTCCCTCACCAGTCTCTCCTCCCTCCCTCTCCTCCCTCCCTCCCTCCCTCACCAGTCTCTCCTCCCTCTCCTCTCTCCCTCCCTCCCTCCCTCTCCTCCCTCCCTCACCAGTCTCTCCCTCCCTCCCTCCTCTCTCCTCCCTCCCTCCCTCTCCCTCCCTCCCTCCCTCCCTCACCAGTCTCTCCCTCCCTCTCCTCTCTCCCTCCCTCCCTCCCTCTCCTCCCTCCCTTTCCTCCCTCCCTCACCAGTCTCTCCCTCCCTCCCTCCCTCCCTCCCTCCCTCCCTCACCAGTATCTCCCTCCCTCTCCCTCCCTCCCTCTCCTCCCTCCCTCTCCTCCCTCCCTCACCAGTCTCTCCTCCCTCCCTCACCAGTCTCTCCTCCCTCTCCTCCCTCCCTCACCAGTCTCTCCTCCCTCCCTCCTCTCTCCTCCCTCCCTCCCTCCCTCTCCTCCCTCTCCCTCCCTCCCTCCCCAGTCTCTCCTCCCTCTCCTCCCTCCCTCTCCTCCCTCCCTCACCAGTCTCTCCTCCCTCCCTCTCCTCCCACTCCTCCCTCCTCTCTCCTCCCTCTCCTCCCTCCCTCACCAGTCTCTCCTCCTCTCCTCCCTCCCTCCCTCACCAGTCTCTCCCCCTCTCTCTCTCCTCCCTCCCTCTCCTCCCTCCCTCTCCAGTCTCTCCTCCCTCCCTCTCCTCCTCTCTCCTCCCTCCCTCACCAGTCTCTCCTCCTCTCCTCCCTCCCTCCCTCACCAGTCTCTCCTCCTCTCCTCCCTCCCTCCCTCACCAGTCTCTCCTCCCTCCCTCTCCTCCTCTCTCCTCCCTCCCTCACCAGTCTCTTCTCTCTCCTCCCTCCCTCTCCTCCCTCCTCTCTCCTCCCTCTCCTCCCTCCCTCCCTCACCAGTCTCTCCTCCCTCCCTCTCCTCCCTCCCTCCCCAGTCTCTCCCTCCCTCCTCTCTCCCTCCCTCCCTCCCTCCCTCCCTCTCCTCCCTCCCTCACCAGTCTCTCCTCCCTCCCTCACCAGTCTCTCCCTCCCTCCCTCCCTCCCTCACCAGTCTCTCCTCCCTCCCTCCTCTCTCCTCCCTCCCTCCCTCCCTCTCCTCCCTCTCCTCCCTCCCTCCCCAGTCTCTCCCTCCCTCTCCTCCCTCCCTCACCAGTCTCTCCTCCCTCCCTCTCCTCCCACTCCTCCCTCCTCTCTCCTCCCTCTCCTCCCTCCCTCACCAGTCTCTCCTCCTCTCCTCCCTCCCTCCCTCACCAGTCTCTCCCCCTCTCTCTCTCCTCCCTCCCTCTCCTCCCTCCCTCACCAGTCTCTCCTCCCTCCCTCTCCTCCCACTCCTCCCTCCTCTCTCCTCCCTCTCCTCCCTCCCTCACCAGTCTCTCCTCCTCTCTCCTCCCTCCCTCCCTCACCAGTCTCTCCTCCCTCTCCTCCCTCCCTCCCTCACCAGTCTCTCCTCCCTCCCTCTCCTCCTCTCTCCTCCCTCTCCTCCCTCCCTCACCAGTCTCTTCTCTCTCCTCCCTCCCTCTCCTCCCTCTCCTCCCTCCTCCCTCTCCTCCCTCCCTCCCTCACCAGTCTCTCCTCCCTCCCTCTCCTCCCTCCCTCCCCAGTCTCTCCTCCCTCCTCTCTCCTCCCTCCCTCCCTCCCTCCCTCTCCTCCCTCCCTCACCAGTCTCTCCTCCCTCCCTCACCAGTCTCTCCTCCCTCCCTCCCTCCCTCACCAGTCTCTCCTCCCTCCCTCCTCTCTCCTCCCTCCCTCCCTCCCCTCCTCCCTCCCTCCCCAGTCTCTCCTCCCTCTCCTCCCTCCCTCTCCTCCCTCCCTCACCAGTCTCTCCTCCCTCCCTCTCCTCCCACTCCTCCCTCCTCTCTCCTCCCTCTCCTCCCTCCCTCACCAGTCTCTCCCCCTCTCCTCCCTCCCTCCCTCACCAGTCTCTCCCCCTCTCTCTCTCCTCCCTCCCTCTCCTCCCTCCCTCACCAGTCTCTCCTCCCTCCCTCTCCTCCCACTCCTCCCTCCTCTCTCCTCCCTCTCCTCCCTCCCTCACCAGTCTCTCCTCCTCTCCTCCCTCCCTCCCTCACCAGTCTCTCCTCCTCTCCTCCCTCCCTCCCTCACCAGTCTCTCCTCCCTCCCTCTCCTCCTCTCTCCTCCCTCTCCTCCCTCCCTCACCAGTCTCTTCTCTCTCCTCCCTCCCTCTCCTCCCTCCTCTCTCCTCCCTCTCCTCCCTCCCTCCCTCACCAGTCTCTCCTCCCTCCCTCTCCTCCCTCCCTCCCCAGTCTCTCCTCCCTCCTCTCTCCTCCCTCCCTCCCTCCCTCTCCTCCCTCTCCTCCCTTTCTCACCAGTCTCTCCTCCCTCCCTCCCTCTCCTCCCTCTCCTCCCTCCCTCACCAGTCTCTCCTCCCTCCCTCACCAGTCTCTCCTCCCTCCCTCCCTCCCTCACCAGTCTCTCCTCCCTCCCTCCTCTCTCCTCCCTCCCTCCCTCCCTCTCCTCCCTCTCCTCCCTTTCTCACCAGTCTCTCCTCCCTCCCTCTCCTCCCTCTCCCACCAGTCTCTCCTCCTCTCTCCTCCCTCCCTCTCCTCCCTCCCTCACCAGTCTCTCCTCCCCTCTCCTCCTCTCTCCTCCCTCCCTCTCCTCCCTCTCCCCCTCCCTCACCAGTCTCTCCTCCCTCCCTCCCTCCCTCCCTCCTCTCCTCCCTCCTCTCTCCTCCCTCCCTCACCAGTCTCTCCTCCTCTCTCCTCCCTCCCTCCCTCCCTCACCAGTCTCTCCTCCCTCGTTCCTTCCCTCCTCCCTCCCTCCCTCCCTCCCTCCCTCCCTCTCCTCCTCTCTCCTCCTCTCTCCCTCCCTCACCAGTCTCTCCTCCCTCCCTCCCTCCCTCCCCAGTCTCTCCTCCCTCCCTCCCTCCCTCCCCAGTCTCTCCCTCCCTCCCTCCCTCCCCAGTCTCTCCTCCCTCCCTCCCTCCCTCCCTCACCAGTCTCTCCTCCCTCCTCTCTCCTCCTCTCTCCTCCCTCCCTCACCAGTCTCTCCTCCCTCCCTCACCAGTCTCTCCTCCCTCTCCTCCCTCCCTCCCTCCCTCTCCTCCCTCTCCTCCCTCCCTCCCTCCCTCCCTCCCTCACCAGTCTCTCCTCCTCTCTCCTCCCTCACCAGTCTCTCCTCCCTCTCCCTCCCTCCCTCACCAGTCTCTCCTCCCCCTCCCTCTCCTCCTCTCTCTCTCCTCTTCTCTCCTCCCTCTTCAGTCTCTCCTCCCTCTCCTCCCTCCCTCCCTCCCTCACCAGTCTCTCCTCCCTCCCTCTCCTCCCTCCCTCCCTCTCCTCCCTCCCTCACCAGTCTCTCCTCCCTCTCCTCCCTCCCTCCCCAGTCTCTCCTCCCTCCCTCACCAGTCTCTCCTCCCTCTCCTCCCTCCCTCCCTCCCTCACCAGTCTCTCCTCCTCCCTCCCTCTCCTCCCTCCCTCCCTCCCTCCCTCCCTCACCAGTCTCTCCTCCCTCCCTCTCCTCCCTCCCTCCCCAGTCTCTCCCTCCCTCCCTCTCCTCCCTCCCTCCCTCCCTCACCAGTCTCTCCTCCCTCCCTCCCTCTCCTCCCTCCCTCCCTCCCTCCCTCACCAGTCTCTCCTCCTCCCTCCCTCTCCTCCCTCCCTCCCTCCCTCACCAGTCTCTCCCTCCTCCCTCCCTCCCTCCTCTCCTCCCTCTCCTCCCTCCCTCACCAGTCTCTCCTCCTCCCTCCCTCCCTCCTCTCTCCTCCCTCCCTCCCTCCCTCTCCTCCCTCTCCTCCCTCCCTCTCCTCCTCTCTCCCTCCCTCCCTCCCTCTCCTCCCTCCCTCCCTCCCTCTCCTCCCTCCCTCTCCTCCCTCCCTCACCAGTCTCTCCTCCTCTCTCCTCCCTCTCCTCCTCTCTCCTCCCTCCCTCCCTCCCTCCCTCTCCTCCCTCCCTCACCAGTCTCTCCTCCCTCCCTCTCCTCCCTCCCTCCCTCCCTCACCAGTCTCTCCTCCCTCCCTCTCCTCCTCTCTCTCTCCTCTTCTCTCCTCCCTCCCTCCCTCTCCTCCCTCCCTCACCAGTCTCTCCTCCCTCTCCTCCCTCCCTCACCAGTCTCTCCTCCCTCCCTCCCTCCCTCCCTCCCTCACCAGTCTCTCCTCCCTCCCTCTCCTCCTCTCTCTCTCCTCCTCTCTCCTCCCTCACCAGTCTCTCCTCCCTCCCTCTCCTCCCTCTCCTCCCTCCCTCACCAGTCTCTCCTCCCTCCCTCTCCTCCCTCCCTCTCCTCCTCTCTCTCTCCTCCTCTCTCCTCCCTCACCAGTCTCTCCTCCCTCCCTCTCCTCCCTCTCCTCCCTCCCTCACCAGTCTCTCCTCCCTCCCTCTCCTCCCTCCCTCCCTCACCAGTCTCTCCTCCCTCCCTCTCCTCCTCTCTCTCTCCTCCTCTCTCCTCCCTCACCAGTCTCTCCTCCCTCCCTCTCCTCCCTCTCCTCCCTCCCTCACCAGTCTCTCCTCCCTCCCTCTCCTCCCTCCCTCCCTCTCCTCCCTCCCTCACCAGTCTCTCCTCCCTCCCTCCCTCCCTCCCTCCTCTCTCCTCCCTCCCTCACCAGTCTCTCCTCCTCTCTCCTCCCTCCTCTCTCCTCCCTCCCTCTCCTCCCTCCCTCCCTCACCAGTCTCTCCTCCCTCCCTCTCCTCCCTCCCTCCCCAGTCTCTCCTCCCTCCCTCTCCCTCCCTCCCTCCCTCTCCTCCCTCCCTCCCCAGTCTCTCCTCCCTCCCTCTCCTCCCTCCCTCCCTCCCTCTCCTCCCTCTCCTCCCTCCCTCACCAGTCTCTCCTCCCTCCCTCTCCTCCCTCCCTCCCCAGTCTCTCCCTCCCTCCCTCTCCTCCCTCCCTCCCTCTCCTCCCTCCCTCCCCAGTCTCTCCTCCCTCCCTCTCCTCCCTCCCTCCCTCCCTCTCCTCCTCTCTCCTCCCTCCCTCACCAGTCTCTCCTCAGGCGTTTGTGTTGGGGGCTGATGTGTCGGGGTGGAGAAAACCTCTCTCTGCGACCACGGTCGTAGTCCCGCCTCCTCTCTCTGCCGCGCTCCCAGTCCCTGCGCGCGCACACACACACACACACAGAGCACTTTAACACGTCACTCTCTCACACACACACACACAGGTTGTCGTGGCGCCCTCAGGTGTGCAGGTGTACCTGTCGGGCCAGTCGTCCCTCCTCCGCTCCTCCCTCTCTCTCGACCGCTCCATGTCGCTCCTCTCTCTTCTGAACTTGTCCCGCCTCCTTCGGTCAAACTCGTCATCGCTGTCTCCCATTGGTCTAAAACACAGACGAAGGTAACATCAAAAACAGACACACCTGAGCTTCCCGGGTCCAACCAGAACCAGCAGAACCAGCAGACCCCCTCAACATGAGACCCTGAAGATCCAGAGGGGTCCGTGTGATCCTTGGTTCTTGTTGAGAACCGGTTTTACATTTTATCTTTATAAATTATGACATAATGGTCATGATAATGATTGGATACGGGCGTTCAAAGAGTCACAGAGGAGAGAGAGAATATTTTTAAATAATTATAAACACTAACAACAATAACAATAATAATCATAATAATGATAATAATGATAATAACCATAATAGTAAAAGAGAAATAACATTAATATTCACACTTTTTACAATCACTATCAAAAGTTCTTCACATATTCATTAAAGGATTTCTTCCGTATAAATATAAATTTATTTAAATAAATGCTGTTAGTCTTTCAGAATGAAGCTCACTCTTTCCAACTTTAAACTTCACAACATCTATTTTAACCTTTAGTTGCTCTTTTTTCCACAGAAACACAATAAATAATCTTTTTTTAAACGGTTTTAAATCAATTTCATTTGAATCAGTCGATGTTTTTGTTTTTACATTTATCTATTATTTATTTTTCTTCACTTCTATGAGGAACATTAAATCAGGATTCCTCTCTAAAAGGTATTTATTGTCAGAAAACAATAAATCATGATGATTATTGATTATTGTCCACATTATTTAGAGTATTAGAGAACATTTAAAGGTTATTAAACTGTGTTTTTAATGATTATTGATTATTGTCCACATTATTTAGAGTATTGTAGATCATTTAAAGGTTATTAAACTGTGTTTTTGTGTTTCTAAAGTCAGTCTATCTGATCGTGTTTTTCTCTGTAACAGTAAAAATCTGAGTTTATTTTCTCTACATGAACAAACTAACCGCAGTTTTAGTTTAATTTCATAGTTATCTGAATTATTAGTGAGTAAAGACATTTACGGACCTGTTCTCTGAATCTTTCATCATGTTTTTATTCCGTTAAGATATTAAATTAGACACAAAAACACTGGAGTTAAAGCTAAAGCTAACGTTAGCACGGAGCTAACAGAGGCTAATTAGCAGGTTAGCAGAGAGCTCTAACGCATGCGCAGACAGCCTTATAACGCAGCGGTTCGTGTTGGCGTCGATAAAGAAGCTCAAACCAACATGGATACTGTGATTAAAGTGTGTTTTTTTACCTGAAGTTAGTCCGTTTATCCCTCAGAACAGCTAACAGCTAACTCTACAACACAACTATCCCGCCGCCTGTCCGAGAGCACAACCACACAACGAGACTTCCGGCCGGGCTTTTCAGGCCGAGAGGAGGAGAGGCGCCCCCCAACGACCAGGAGGGGAACTACAGGAACAACACAGTCTCAGCGTTAGTCTTGTTAAAACCTGTTCGATGAGAGATGGAAGAGAGTAGGTGAGTTGTGTTTAGTCTCTTTGCTAAAGAAATGAGTCAAAGTTAAAAAGATGTTTGGTGTCTAGTACTATGTCTGTGACCCTATATGTACTAACCTCAGTAGATCATGGTGTAGTTCAGTTCAGTAACAGAACCTCATTGGAAAATTAGCTGATTTAACTTTACTGTGCTCTTGTTCAAAAATACTAACTCTACAGCACATAAATCCATACCTGTTAACAAAATCATGATTTTATTGATAATTCGGCTCAATAAAAACACCTTTACCTTTTCATTTAGTCTCTTTTCTAAAGAAATGAGTCAGTTAAAAAGATGTTTGGTGTCTAGTACTATGTCTGTGACCCTATATGTACTAACCTCAGTAGATCATGGTGTAGTTCCGTTCAGTAACAGAACCTCATTGGAAAATTAGCTGATTTAACTTTACTGTGCTCTTGTTCAAAAATACTAACTCTACAGCACATAAATCCATACCTGTTAACAAAATCATGATTTTATTGATAATTCGGCTCAATAAAAAATACCTTTACCTTTTCATTTAGTCTCTTTTCTAAAGAAATGAGTCAGTTAAAAAGATGTTTGGTGTCTAGTACTATGTCTGTGACCCTATATGTCCTGTTGATGAAGTTAGGTGCTGTTCTGAGCTTTATTTGTGGCTATAGAGTGGCGTTTTGGTTGAGGGCGTGGCTCTCTGTATTTCTATCCTGTGGTCGTTACTAAAGTTGGTATAACTAGAGAAGGAAGCGGTCGACAACATTCATCTCTGGAGGGGGGGTCTAACTCGGTGTTTGACCCTAAATTAGTTTTACGTCGGAATATCCCTTTAAGACTTGGTGAGGTTCTGCAGTAATCGAGATTTTTATACGTCTGTTTACTGTACGAAGGATTTTCTCAGTAATGACATAAAAACAGGCGATCTTATCTGAAATAACGTAGAATCAGACTTTCATGTTAAACATGAAAACATCACAAATAAACATCATAATAACCCTAATACTACCACAACCAATAATAATAATAATAATAAACATAATAATAAAAATACTAATTATAAACATAATAAACATAATAATAAAAATAATAATTATAAACATAATAAACATAATAATAAAAATAATAATAATAATAAACATAATAATAATAATCGAAAAATAAATAAATAGTAATAATAATAATAATAATAATAATAATTATTATTATTATTATTATTATTATTATTATTATTATTATTATAAATCACAGTTGCTCAAAGATGCTTAACAAAGAAAAGAATAAAATAAAATTAAAATTAAAAAAAATACAGAAAATGTTTTGAAATAAAACCGACACTGTCAAAGTTAAAAAAAAAATAAAAATACACAATATGCGAGAACAATAAAAGAAAAGTTCACAGGTTACATTTGAAAAGGTCTGTTTTTTAGTGTGGGGGTCTGTAGGGTCTCGGGTGGGTTTGGGGTCACAGGGGCCAAGGCTCTGCCCCCCAAGTTCGGTACTTGGTCCGAGGGGTCGGGGCAAGACATGAAAGTATCACGTTATTACATGATACTGAGGTGTTTTTTAACAGTGTGGCATTAATGGGCCTCCGTACTGAAGGTTCTGTAGTTTACAGTTTGATCCGGTAGGGGGCGGGGTTTTCTCAGGTCCAAGTCTGTTTCCAACATGGCGGCTCCCATCGTGTGGGTCCAGGACCCCTCTTCAGACGGGTCTACCTGCTCTGATCCCGGACTTTGTTCTCCGTCTGCAGCTCAGAACTTTCTAAAGACCGAACCAGGAGACGGTCCGGAACCCCAGAGTCCGGAACATCAGAGTCCAGGAGCCGGAGCAGAGACCTGCGGGACCATGGAGGACCAGAACCCGGAGTACAGAGACCCAGCAGCGGGCCCGTTTTCCTCCGGTTCCGATGTCCAGGTGAGTTTTCACGAGTCCGTCAGCTTCCGGTTGTCGCGAGCTTCATCCTGCAGGTGGAGAGCGCGTGTCTGTGGACCGTGTCCCGGTCTCCTGGTTCTGTTCGGCTCCATCATGGTTCTGTGAGACCTCCTCTGACAGACTCTGAAGGATCTCCGAACCGGGTCAGTCCTCCTCGGTGGATCTAAACGGGGCCTGGAGGAGGAAGCAGGAGGAAATCCTGAGTCCCGGAGACCGACATGGAGACGAGGAGGGCGGGGAGAGAGAGGAGGGAGACCCGGGGGGAGGAACCGGAACCAGAACCGGGATCAGGAGCAGCTACATGGATCCATGGAGCTGAGGTGGTCTACAGGAGGCCCACCTTTGTCTGCTTCACCTGACAGACTGAGGAGTCGAACCTGGACTCCTTATTGTCTCTGTTCATGAGTGAAGGAGGTGCTGAAGGAGGTGTGGGAACTCACATGAGAGGAGGAGATCAACTCTCCTCCAGACCGCTGTCACTCAGAGCCGATGTTTGTGTGGAAAAAAATCATCTGGTTTTATTATCATTATCATTATTATTATTATTATTATTATTATTATTATTAATATTATTGTTATAGTTATAACTATAGTTATTACTGTTATTATTATTATTATTATAGTTATTACTATTATTATTATTATTATTATTATTATTGTGATAGTTATAACTATAGTTATTACTGTTATTATTATTGTTATTATTATAGTTATTACTATTATTATTATTATTATTATTATTATTATTATTGTTATAGTTATAACTATAGTCATTACTGTTATTATTATTATTATTATAGTTATTACTATTATTATTATTATTATTATTATTATTGTTATAGTTATAACTATAGTTATTACTGTTATTATTATTATTATTATTATAGTTATTACTATTATTATTATTATTATTATTATTATTATTGTTATAGTTATAACTATAGTTATTACTGTTATTATTATTATTATTATTATTATTATTGTTATAGTTATAACTATAGTTATTACTGTTATTATTATTGTTATTATTATAGTTATTACTATTATTATTATTATTATTATTATTAAAATAATTGTTATAGTTATAACTATAGTTATTACTGTTATTATTATTATTATTATTATTATTATTGTTATAGTTATAACTATAGTTATTACTATTATTATTATTATTATTATTATTATTATTAAAATAATTGTTATAGTTATAACTATAGTTATTACTATTATTATTATTATTATTATTATTATTATTGTTATAGTTATAACTATAGTTATTACTGTTATTATTATTGTTATTATTATAGTTATTACTATTATTATTATTATTATTATTATTAAAATAATTGTTATAGTTATAACTATAGTTATTACTGTTATTATTATTATTATTATAGTTATTACTATTATTATTATTATTATTATTAATATTATTGTTATAGTTATAACTATAGTTATTACTGTTATTATTATTATTATTATAGTTATTACTATTATTATTATTATTATTATTATTATTATTGTTATAGTTATAACTATAGTTATTACTGTTATTATTATTATTATTATTATAGTTATTACTATTATTATTATTATTATTATTATTATTGTTATAGTTATAACTATAGTTATTACTGTTATTATTATTATTATAGTTATTACTATTATTATTATTATTATTATTATTGTTATAGTTATAACTATAGTTATTACTGTTATTATTATTATTATCATTAAAGTTATTAATATTATTACTATTATTTTATTATTATAGTTATTATTATTATTATTATTATTGTTATTATTATCATTATAACTATAGTTATTATTATTATTATTATTATTATTATTATTATTATTATTAATATTAATATTATTATTATTATTATTAAAGTTATTATTATTTTAATTGTAATTATTTTAATTATTATTATTATGAATGATTTTAAAAAACTGAAAACTCACTTTTTTAGTTTTACTTTTAATTAAAATTTATATCATTAACTTTAATTAATCTTCCTCCTGTTTTGTTTTAACTTCACTCCCTCCATGTTAACGGGTCGGTTCTGTCTGCTGTAAAAACAGTTCTCTCTCCTCCAGTTTGGTTCTGGTCTCTCAGTTTTCTTGTTCGGCTTCATTATCGATGAAAATATTGATCATCATAGTTGTTGTGGTGGTCCTCACACAGACATCTAAACTCTCACGTCTGGACAGAGAAAAACATGAAAACTGAGAATGAAGACGATCTGACTGTCAGCGCACTCATGATTGTTAGATATTGATCTAACCGGGTCAACAGCGACTCGAACAAAGTGTCATAATTTTAATAAGAACATTTTATCATTTAGTTTTTATTTTGTTGACTTGGAGGTTCGTGACAAAGTCAAAGTGTTTCTTTGAAGCTCTGAGAGTCAAAAACAGGTCAGTGCTGACACGAACGCAGGAGGACTTCAAGTGTTTGAACTTTGATCTAGTTTTAATGACACGATCGTCTTTTATTCTTCTGCTCTGTAAAACACTTTGTGCTCCATCTTTTTGTATCAATCAATAAGGACTGATTGATTGATTACCATGTCCTTTAAAAACACGGTAACGACGAACTGAAGGAGCAGAGTTGATTAAAACAGGTGGTGTTGGCGGCTCGGCCCGCTCTCCTGCAGAATAAAGAGAATTTTCGTTCAATAAGATAAAATAAAGTTTGATTTTTGTTCTTAAAAAAACTGTTCAATGATTAAAAAACACTTTTTAAATTCAGCTTAAACTGTGACGCTCCACCGTGACGTCTCACCGTCTCTCTCTCTCTTTTTCGACAGGAGCAGGAGGAGGAAAAGGTTCGCCACGGTCACGACTTTCATGGCTACAGTAAACCCGCCCCGACCCTCCCGTCCTCCAAAGATCCTCCCAGAGTCCAGACGGAAAAGAAACCGTTCATCTGCGACGACTGCGGGAAAACGCTCAGCTCCTTACAGAACCTCAAAGTCCATCGGCGCATTCACACCGGAGAGAGACCGTACAGCTGCGACCGCTGCACCGCCGCGTTCACGCAGCTGGGAAACCTGCAGGAGCACCAGCGCATTCACACGGGCGAGAAACCGTACAGCTGCGATCAGTGCGCCAAAACCTTCGTCAGCTCCAGTAAACTGAAAACGCACCAACGGATTCACACCGGAGAGAGACCGTACTGTTGTGAGCGGTGCAACGCCACCTTCACCCAGTTAGCGCATTTACAGGGACACCAACGCACCCACACCGGAGAGAAACCGTACAGCTGCAACCAGTGCGGGAAAACCTTCAACACGTCGAGTAACCTGAAGGCTCATCAGAGAGTTCACTCCGGAGAGAAACCGTTCAGCTGCGATCAGTGCGACGCCAAATTCACGCAGTTGGTGAATCTGAAAGGTCATCGCCACGTTCACGTCCGGGAGAAACCCTTCAGCTGTGAGGAGTGTGGGAAATCCTTCGGTTCATCCAAGAGTTTAACCATCCATCAGCGCAGCCACACCGGAGAGAGACCGTACGGCTGCGACATGTGCGAGAAAAAGTTCACCTCGTCCAGAGTTCTCAAAGATCACCAACGGATTCACAGCGGCGAGAAACCGCACCGCTGCGAGCAGTGTGGGAAATCGTTTATCAAAGCGTACGACCTGAAGGTTCATCAGCGAGTTCACGTCCGAGAGAAAATCCTGATCTGTGATAACTGCGGGAAAGTCTTCAAGACGGTGAGCGCTCTGTACGCTCACCAGAGGATCCACACCGCCGAGGACCTGTTCAGCTGCGACAGGTGTAACGCCAAGTTCACTCAGGCGGCGAACTTAGAGGGACACGTGTGCGTTCCCACCGGAGACAAACTCTACATCTGCGATCAGTGCGGGAAGAGTTTCAGCCGGTCGTCCATCCTCAAAATCCACCAACGCATCCACACCGGAGAGAAACCGTACAGCTGCGACTTCTGCGGGAAGTCCTTCAGGTTATCGAGTCGACTGAGAGACCACGAGCGGATTCACACCGGAGAGAGACCGTACCGCTGCGACCAGTGCGGGAAATCCTTCACCGACAGGAGGACGTTACTGATCCACCAACGGACCCACACCGGAGAGAAACCGTACCGCTGTATTCAGTGTCGGAAAGGCTTTACGAAGAAATACAGCCTGAAGCTCCATCAGCGGATCCACACCGGTGAGAAACCGTACAGCTGCGACGTCTGCGAGAAAGCTTTCGTGAGACTCGCTGAACTACAGGTCCACAGACGAGTTCACACCGGAGAGAAACCCTACAGCTGCGGGAAGTGCAGCGCCACCTTCTCTCAGTCGAGCGGATTAAAGGCGCATCAGCGGATTCACAACCGAGAGTGACGGACGAGTCGGGATGAAGCTGTTCTCTCATTATTTTACATTTATATATAAACACACTCGATTTCTGTGACCTGTGACCTTTTCTCTCTGTGTCTCCATCTGTGCAGACGTCTTCTCTCCTTTGTGGACGCGTCTGAGAGTTTCAATAAAATGAAAACTGATGTTTGTTGTTTCTTCAGGACATGAAAAATGAAAAGGTAAAGGTGTTTTTATTATTGAGCCGAATTATCAATAAAATCATGATTTTGTTAACAGGTATTTATATACCTGCTGTTGAGTTAATATATTTGAACAAGAGCACAGTAAAGTTAAATCAGCTAATTTTCCAATGAGGTTCTGTTACTGAACGGAACTACACCATGTTCTACTGAGGTTAGGACATATAGGGTCACAGCCATAGTACTAGACACCAAACATCTTTTTAACTTTGACTCATTTCTTTAGCAAAGAGACTAAACACAACTCACCTACTCTCTTCCAGCAGACGCTTGTTTGTAGAGAGACCTCAGGCCAGTCCATTACAGACTACAGCGGGGTGCCGCAGCTCAAGGAAGAACATTTATGATCATTTCTTCATGGAAATACAATCAGACCGAGACGCTAAGACAGAAGAACTACCGCGTCTGTAAAATGATCAATATGGTGATTATTACTTCAATGATAAAGAAATGATCATAAATGTTCTTCCTGTAGCTGCGGCACCCCGCTGTAAAGAGAGCTCTGATCTGTTTCAACAGTAACGCCACGTCAGCAAAAACACGGTGAGATTTTCTTTATTTCATGAATCATAAACGAGTGCAGACACAGATCCTCATCAGAGTCTGATCAGCTGATTTCAGAGTTCAGGTCAGTGTGTGATCGTCTGAGTTCATCAGAAATGAGCCACATGATCAGCCATGATCGCAGTCACGACGGGGACCAGGTCCAAGTTTGACTGGGAACTTCAGTGTGAATCTTTCAGATTGGTTCTTGGAGAAGAGGGGGTGGAGCCAGACAGCTGCTGGAGGAAAAAAAGAGTTACCGTTAAAGTCTCTCCTGGGGCTTTTATTTTGAAATTATCTCTCACAACTTGAAACGAGTGTTTTCAGATTTTAATGACGGCTGTTTGTCACCTGTCCTCCTCCTGCTCCTGCTCCTCCTCCTGCTCCTGCTCCTCCTCCTGCTCCTCCTCGTCCTGAAAACACTCGGGTCAGTCCGTTGTGCGCGGGGACGTGTCGTAGAGGACGTGATCTGGACTCCTTTAGCTCTGATAGGAGTTCAGGACTGGACAGGGACAGACGAGCTGCAGACAGACACAGACACCTCAGATTACAGATTTAGGAGTTCCCCCGTTTGACCACAGGGGGCGCCAAAACTGACTGAACTGTTATGGACCTCACAGGAAGTCTGAACCTCAGGTGACGCTCGCTCACCTCGTCTGTTGTCGGAGCTCGGAGAGGACGAAGAAGAGGAGGATGAGGAGCTGTCGGGGGAGGAGGTGGGGGTGGGGCTGAAGGGGGAGGGCAGAGGTGAGAGGGGGGCCACGGGGGAGGGGGAGGGGACAGTGCCGGAGTCAGAGATGTCCCCCTGAAACCGAAACCTGTTCTGACGCTCTGAAAGACACAAGAAGAAGAAGAAGTCATTTTTAAGTTCAGTTTTTAGTGTCATTGAAGGTCTGTGTCTGTATTTGTGTCTGTAACTCTGTCTGTGTCTTTATTTGTGTCTGTATCTGTAACTCTGTCTTTAACTCTGTCTGTATTCGTGTCTGTGTCTGTAACTCTGTCTGTGTCTCTGTCTGTCTCTGTATCTGTGTCTGTAACTCTGTCTGTATCTGTGTCTTTGTCTGTATTCGTGTCTGTGTCTGAGTCTGTATTTGAATCTGTATCTGTGTTTGTGTCTGTATCTGTGTCTCTGTCTGTTTCTGTCTGTGTCTGTAACTCTGTCTGTCTGTGTCTGTCTCTGTGTCTGTATTTGTGTCTGTGTCTGTGTCTGTATTTGAATCTGTATCTGTGTTTGTGTCTGTTACTCTGTTTCTGTTTCTGTCTGTATCTGTGTCTGTGTCTCTGTCTGTATCTGTATCTCTGTCTGTATTTGTGTCTGTGTCTGTATTTGTGTCTGTATCTGTAACTCTGTCTGTCTGTGTCTGTGTTTGTGTTTCTGTCTGTATTTGTGTCTGTATCTGTATCTCTGTCTGTGTCTGTATCTGTATCTCTGTCTGTATTTGTGTCTGTGTCTGTAACTCTGTCTGTTACTCTGTGTCTGTGTCTGTTTCTGTCTGTGTCTGTCTGTATTTGTGTCTGTGTCTGTGTCTGTTTCTGTCTGTATTTGTGTCTGTAACTCTGTCTGTCTGTGTCTTTGTGTCAGTATCTGTATCTCTGTGTCTGTGTTTCTGTCTGTATCTCTGTCTGTGTCTGTGTTTGTGTCTGTCTGTGTCTGTAACTCTGTCTGTCTCTGTGTCTGTGTCTGTTACTCTGTCTGTGTCTGTGTCTGTCTGTATTTGTGTCTGTGTCTGTGTCCGTCTCTCTCTCACCTCGGAGAAACTCGTCCTTCAGCTCTGAACTCTGCAGAGACATCAGAGGAGGAAGAGGAGGAGGAGACGAAGAGGAGAGGGGCGGAGCCTCAGAGGTAGACCATGATGAAGATGAAGATGATGGCGGTGAGGAGGAGGACGACGTGTCTGTGGATGAAGAGTTCATGGCGGCCGTTCAAAGTGGGAGGAGCTATAAAGAGATCAGAGAACAGCGAGTGAGACCCTGATGGACCTCAGATCCCCGAGGAGAAACCAGACCACTGTTTCAGGAAGAGAAGAGAAGTTCGCCGTCGTCACGCCGAGCTGTCCGCATATTTCAACGCCACATGTGAAGCAGGAATCCACTCAGAAAACTTCTTCACTTCCCCCACCTGAGTGTCACCTGCTCCCTCAGTTCAGCTGCGGGTTCGACCCCCTCAGAGGAAACATGCCGGGCCGTCCGTCCGTCCGTCCGTCTGTCCGCGTTCCTCCAGGTTCAGAAGCTCCTGGACAACGATGGCGAGAAGACTTCCTGTTGGCGGGACAAAGTCTGCCGCACTTTACCGCTCTGTGTGTGTGTGTGTGTGTGTGTGTGTGTGTTTGCTTTAGGAGAAAACTTCAAACACACACACACACGTCTCAAAAGTCCACATTAATTATTGACATGTTCTTAATGGCACCGTCGCCATGGATACCAGGAAGGGAGGGAAAAATGGTGTCAGCTGAACTTTTAACCCGCACACACATATCATATTCACGTCTTTGATGGTTTATGAGGACCGCGTACTTTAACCTCCGAGTGGGGACTTTGGTTTCCAGTTTGAATAATTCGCCAACAAAATCAGAGGAACGTCAAACATTCAACTTTCACTTCAGATAATGTTCGTCACATTTAAAAGGAACAGATCCAAACGAGCGAGAAGGTCCTCACGTGACAGACGGTCCATCAAGCTGTGGTACCCTTAAGTATACAAAGACAAATAAACACACACACACAGATTCAAACTTCCTCACTCGTGGCTGAAATTAAAGGTTTATGTTTGTAAAGGTTGGATGACAATAGTTCCACCTGAATAATTTATGTTTATATTTATATTTATATTTAATAATACAGAAGAAGAATTAAAGGATAAAAAAACATCATCATTCATTTCCTGGATTTTTAAACCACTTTTTGAACAAAGAAGAGAGTTTTTAAGACTGATGAAAGAGGGAATTTCAATTTCATTTGGTTTAATAAAAAAATATCTGCAAACATTCACAGTTTGATAATTTACAAACAACAAGTATAAACCAACATCCTGCAAGAATGACCACGAGTCTGAACAGAGAGAGGACCTTCAAACTGCTAATGTTAGCGTAGCTTTAAACAAAGTAACATGTGAGCAGCTTAGCGTGCGGCGCTGCGTTCAAATACAGTCAGAGTCAAATCTGCTGAGTGAAGCTGAGAGAAGGTAGACATACATGTTTCATCAGTGACGGTCTGTTCTTCCTCACACAGTTTAAACATCTCTTCATTAAGAGTTCAAAGGTCACACTGAGGCGATAACCAGAGACACATAAAAACAGACCAGGTAACGAGTCACAGGAAAACTGTTCCACTGCTGTGATGTCACTCAGGTACACTGTGATGTCACCCAGGTACACTGTGATGTCACTCAGGTACACTGTGATGTCACTCAGGTACACTGTGATGTCACCCAGGTACACTCTGCCATCGTCCCCGTGTCTCCGTTACATTAATCAGGTCCTCTCGTGTGCCTATAAATGAGTTTGTGTGTTTGTGTCATTTGTCAGGTCCTCTCGTGTGCCTATAAGTGAGTTTGTGTGTTTGTGTCATTTATCAGGTCCTCTCGTGTGCCTATAAGTGAGTTTGTGTGTTTGTGTCATTTGCCTTCATTAGGAAAATAACCTCTAATAACCTCTAGTAACCTCTGTGAACATATGGTGCCATCCCATAATCTTGATCACCATCACCATGGAGATGAGACAGCAGCTACAGCGTCCACTTCAAGCATCTGTGGAGACAGAGGGGACAGATGAGAGGACGTTTCAGGAGACCCCGAAATGAAGCTTCTGATGAAAGGTCTCTGAATGTACACATAGACAAACACGTGTGTGTGTGTGTGTGTGTGTGTGTGTGTGTGTGTACCTGGTTTCTCTGTGTGTGATCAGACACTTGCTGCTGCAGTAGCGCCCCCCACAGGTGGTGCAGGTGTAGTGAGAGGGAAACCCGCAGACGCAGCAGAAGTGGCGAGGAGGCAGAGAGGAGGGAGGGGCCACAGCAGACAGGTAGTTAGGCTCCGCCTTCTCTGACAGGTTCTACCAATCAGAGAGCAGAGCAGGAGTCAGCTGACCTTTTTTGGACTTTCTGGATTTTGGTTCTTCTCGGTTTCTGAGGAGGATGAACCCTGATGGGAGGGTCGAACCCCTCAGCCAATCAGAGCCCAGGATGGAGGCGTCAGACTCACCTCCTCCTCCAGCAGCGTGGTGAAGTTCTTCCTGAATCTCTGTTTGAAGTGATCGCCCCTCGTCTTCCTCTTCTTCTTCTCTGCACCAAAAGAAAAAAGAACAGAGCGACCTTTAAACCCGACCACAGCGGCGCTCCAGCAGAACTATGAAAGCAGGAGAGTCAAAGAGTTCTGACCCGGTTCCTCGGTCTCACTGAAGGCCGGCAGGCGGGCAGTAGGACCTGGGGGAGGGAGGGAGGACAGAGGGTCGTCCTGGAAACAACAACAACAAAAACGTTAACGACAGAAACAACAACAACAACAACAACATTAACATCAACAACATAAAAAACAACAACAACATTAACGACAAGAACAAAGACAACAACTACAACAATAAAAACAACAACAACAAAAACAACAACAATGTTAACGACAGAAACAACAACAACATTAACAACAACAACAAAACCAACGACAACAACAACGTTAACAACAACATTAACGACAGAAACAACAACGACAACAACAACGTTAACAACAACAACATAAAAAACAAAAACAACGTTAACAACAACAACATAAAAAACAACAACAACGTTAACAACAACAACATAAAAAACAACAACAACGTTAACGACAAGAACAAAGACAACAACAACAAAACCAACAACAACAACAAAAACAACATTAACAACAACAACAACAACAACAACATTAACGACAGAAACAACAACGACAACAACAACGTTAACAACAACAACAACAAAACAAAAACAACAACAACAACAACAACAACGTTAACAACAACGTTAACAACAAGAACAAAGACAACAACAACATAACCAACAACAACAACAACAACAAAAACAACGTTAACAACAACAACGTTAACAACAACAACGTTAACGACAGAAACAACAACAACAACAACAACAAAGACGACAACAACAACATTAACATCAACAACATAAAAAACAAAAACAACGTTAACAAAAACAACGTTAACAACAACAACAAAAACAACAACGTTAACGACAGAAACAACAACAACAACAACAACAAGACGACTTTCTGGAGTTTGGATCTTTTTTTTCTGATGTACAAAAACAAACCGATGATTCTACTACGACTATTTCTGCGTTCCAGTTTCCTCAGAAGTCAGAGATCGGAGCTGAAAATGAAGTCGCACCCGAGTTCCCATTGTTTCAGTTTCCAAGTCGGAAAAAAAAGAAAAATCGGAGGTGGAAACAAGATGGCTACGTCAGCGAAAGTTACTCTAGCACTCGTCTTATATTCGGACAAGACAAGCGCTAGAGTAACTTTAATAGATGAAGCCGTCTCGTCACTCAGGTGTGACGTCATTTTCAGCTCGGACTTCCGACTTCGAGAAAACTCGGACGCAGCGTATTTTTAGGCTGTAATTCTGACACTGGCCTGCAGAGGTCAGTGTGGAGACCACAGACTGTATTTACTCTGGACTCCTCTGTTCCTCCTTCCTCCAGTTTACAGATTTGAAGCTGAAAAAGTTCTCGGTAATTCTGCGTTTTTGCTCCACTTCCTGACACCGACATTACGCAGTAGCGTTGTAAGTATTCGGCGAGAGAGTCGCTGTGATGGCGCTCGGCTCTAACAGCGAATCTCCCGGGTGAGCAACTCAATCTCTGTGCTCCCATAGGCTGTATCAGGTGTCAATCATAGAAAACATGAATGCTGGAGGAGGCGGGGTTTATGAGCTATACTGCAGACCGTCACCAGAGGGCGTTGTCCTCAGGGTGAGGAGGCAGACGGCGTCCATTTTTGACTCACACTGACTCACCTGGAAGTTGTCTTTCTCTAGAGCTTCCAGCTGACGGGTCAGTCTCCTCTGTCGGGTCGCTTCATCCAGAACTCGGCGCTGACCCGCCTCCACCCGGGCTGAGAGGGAGAGAGAGAGAGAGAGAGAGAGAGAGAGAGAGAGAGAGAGAGAGAGAGAGAGAGAGAGAGAGAGAGAGAGAGAGGGAGAGAGGGAGAGAGAGAGAGGGAGAGAGAGAGAGAGAGAGAGAGAGAGAGAAACACAAGAATCGTTTTTCTTTTTTGACGCGCTCTTTCTCTTCTATCCAAACCTCATTATCAAACTCACTGTTTTCTCATGTCCGTCACTTTTATTGATCAGATGAAGTTTTATGTTGGTTTTCGGTGTCTATAAACGGTCTGGTTTGATCTCCTGGAGAATTCGGCGTTAATTTAGTGGAAAATAAATCTTTAATTTTATCAGAAAAACCGAAATTTCTCCAGAATCATCAGCCTGAAATAAAGCGGAGTTTCCCTGTGAGCTCAGGGACTGATTTATCACAGTGTCTCTATGAGAAATCATCATTAAGCCGAATTATAACAACTTCTGATCAACGTTTAATTAGAGTAACAAACAGCTGATTAGAGAGTGAATTATCCAGATGGACTTTTATTCAGTGATATTTTAACTAACACTCTGTAAAAACGTAGAAATACAGCGAACAGATAAAAACTTGATCCGCGTTTAGACTTAATAAACTTTAATTTATCACCTTCTGTTCTTTATAAAGGAGCTTATTCTGGTTTTAATGAAGAATTTGGACAAAAATGAGCGAAACTCACCGGAACCTTTCTTCTCCAGCACCATGTTGGATCTACGGAGAACACTGAGGGTCAGACCTCAGCAGGCGAAACGCGATTATTAAAATCAGGTCAAGCCAGAACAGTTTCTTTCTATTTGTCGCCACCTGGTGGAGGAAATAAAGGCTTCTGTGGTGTCTGAACTCATTGAATAAAAGCTGAAAACACAAATTCAGGATTTAATCATCCTCGATGATTATTTGACTTTACAGACGGAAAACAGAAGTACGGTGGCCGAGAACTGCCACAGCTGCAAATAATAAATAATGCAAAAACAAGAAGAGGCCATAACGGAAGTTACCGATGTAAAAAAAAAAAAAAAAAAAAAGAAAGAAAGAAAGAGACCGACGCCTGCTGCAAATAAAAAACAAACAGTGCAGATAAAAAAAAAAAACACAACATAAGTTAACGATGCAAAAAAAAAAGGGGGGGAAAAAGAGGCCATAATGGAAGTTAACGACACAGAAAAGTGGCGATGAAAAAAAAAGGTTACTTACTGCAAGAATAAAAGGATGAAAAAAAGAAGCCACAAGATGCAACAAAAAAGAAACAAAGCCTGCAGCAATAAAAAAAACAAACTGCAGATAAAAAAAAAGCCACAACAGAAGTAAATGACGGAAAAAAGGTGGCAATGCAAAAAAAAAGTTACATAATGCAAAAATAAAAGAACGAAAAAAAGAAGCCACAAGATGCAAATGAAAAAAATAAATAAAAAAAACTTACCTGGCTACAAATAAAAAAAACAAACGGTAAAGATTTAAAAAAAAAAAAAAAAGCCACAGTGGAAGGAAACGGTGCAAAAAAAGTGGAAATGCACAAAAAAAAGTTACTTACTGCAAAAAAAAAAGATGCAAAAAAAAAGTCACAACGGAAGTTACCGAAGCCTGCCGCAAATAAAATAAAATAAAAAAACACAACAGAAGCAAACGACGCAAAAAAAAAGAATAAGTTACTTACTGCAAAAATAAAAGCTTAATTCAACTGTGGCTTTTTTATTTGCATCCTCTTATTTTAGCAGTGACTTTTTTAAAAATGTTTTTTTTGCATCATCACTTTTTTCTGTGTCTTTAACTTTTTTAAAAATCTGCTGTTTATTTTTTTTATTTGTATCAGACTTCAGTTTTGTTTTTTTTACTCGCAGCAGTGGCGCTTCTCGGCCACCGTACTGAAGCTCCTGACTTCTACTGTTTGAGGTGAAAGGAGTTTTATTTTGAAACATCGGCGGCGTCTCCGTGTTCAGAGTCGATGAAAATCTGTTTCCGAACACAGAGGCTCCGATAGAGGACACAGGTTTACTCCGGTGTAGAAATCAAACACACCCGTGCTCTGACGGTAAACTTCTTTATTAAATCTCAAACTTTATTATCGACTCAGTCATTAAAAAATAATTTAATGCAGTTTTTTTACAAAGCCAGAGAGAGCGTCGAGTCCTCGTATCGACAGGCACGCGTGGAGACGAAACTACAGGCGGCGTCGGGTGGAAACCTCCAACGGTCGCCGTCTACAATCACAGGTTTTCTTTAAATAAGGAGACATGGAAACTGTGAACGCTGTCAGGAAATACACAAATACAGGATCGTAAAAAAACAATAAAAACAAAAAAACACCATCATGACAAAAACGCCCTCAGCTTTGAACCCGGAAACCGCCGCAGAACCTCTCCTCCAAGAGCACGCCGTGTCCTCCACGTCGAGAGGGTTTCTGCGCCGATTCCAACGTTACAGTGACTTTGGAGTGTGACACACACACACACACACACACACACACACACACACACACACACACAGGTGGAGTGTGTTCTGCTTGCATAGGCTTCGTTATCAGGTAAGGCAGCACGGTTCCATAAAGTTACAACATACAGTGACTCTTATTCTGAAAGGGTCCACCTCTTATTTTGAAAGCGTCCACCAGGGGGCAGTACAGGTCTCCTTAACCCGACTGACCCACAGGTGAAGGTGATTCCAGGTGTGACAGCAGGTAATCTGAATCATCCAATCAGAGAGGAGAAGACAAACTCAGAGTTCGTGTTCAGAGACGATGCGTTCGGGGACGCCGCGGAGATTCCTGCGCCGTCCGTCTCGCTCTCTGAGGATGAGGTCCACTTTGGTCTCTCTCTATCTCACACACACAGACACAGACACACACACAGACACACACACACGTGCACAGAGGGACAGGTCTAGGGGTCTACGAAGGACACCATGATGTAGCGGGTCCCCCTGGTGGTGGGAAGACCCTCGTGGTAGTGCGTCAGGCGGCCCGGGTGCATGAAGGACCAGCCTTTCCTGGGAGACTCCACCTTACAGTCGTACCGCAGGAACCTGCAGCCTCCACCCTGATACACACACACACACACACACACACACACACACACACACACACACACACACACACACACACAGACACACACACACACACACACACACACACGTAAACATTTGTTCTGACACGTCTAAGTGTTTTAGGTTCTCCTACTTTGTTTGTGTGTGAGTGTGTGTGTGTGTGTGTGTGTGTGTGTGTGTGTGTGCGTGTGCGTGTGTGCGTACCTCGTAGTCGACGCCCTTGTTGTTCAGGGCGATGTTGATGGTGAAGGTGGAGGAGTCGTGATGCGGCCTCAGAGACGGCTGCTCGTCAGGACGATACCGGACCACGAAGTTCATGATGGCCTGAGCCTGAGGACACACACACACACACACACAGACACACACACACACACACACACACACACACACACACACACACACACACACACACACACACACAGGAGTGACTTCAGTTACCATGGTTACCCTCTGCGTCTGTTGTCAAACTGAATCAGGTCTCTGAGTGGGTGGGACAGAGTGAACCTCAGACTCCTGTGGGTCCCGAGTCCTGACCCTGGAGGACCCGGATCGGGTCAGAACCTGGACCGTACCTTGGGATAATATCCAGGATAGAGTTTCTCGGTCACGGGGACGATGTACTCTTTGAGGAACTTGAGCCACTCCTTCTCGAAGCTGATCTGGTTCATGTGGATGTCCACAGTGGGGACGTTCTCGTACCCGCCGGACAGACGCTCGTCCTGAACAGAACAAACACAGAACCGAGACTTTAGGGATCCAGACCCAGAAAGAGTCCAGGTACAGGTACAGGTCTGTCTCTTCACCTGATCCCACCACACAGGTATCAGGACCAACGGACCGACCACAGACCTGCGCGGTTCTTCTCACTTCAGATTCAGGACCAGATATTCCAACCAGTTCTGAGCCTGATAATCCAGAACCCAACGGTCCTGGACCCGTCACTAAAGACGCCTCCTCCACTGTTGCCAAGCTATAAACTCACATTTCCCATCAATAAGAAAAACTATCAGTTTGTCTGTGACCTGATAACTGACCGTGGGAGTTTGTAAAGTTCTGAGTAAAGTTTGTAAAGTTCGTAAAATTCCGAGTAAAGTTTGTAAAGTTCGTAAAATTCCGAGTAAAGTTTGTAAAGTTCGTAAATTTCCGAGTAATTTTTGTAAATTTTGTTAAGTCTGTAAAGTTGGAGGTGAAGTCAGGAAAAAGTTGTCTCTCAGATTCTTGGTGATTTTTCAAGAATGTCGGACCTGGACCTTTGTCCTGTTTTGGATCACAGATTAAAAACAGTTTATCGGTCTCATGGACCAGGACTGGGGAACTCAAGTCCAGAAAACCTCGATCAGAGACGTCCTCTGTCCACAGACACACAGACAGACAGAGCGGTCACCTTGTGAGATCCTCCTGACCACTCGCCAAAGTCCTCCATGGTCTCCACCATGTGATCACACATCTTCTCGGAGAAGGCGGGAAACCAGTAGACGTCTGGACAGGGCTGAAGAAGAGAGAGAGAGAAGAAGAGGAGGAGGAGGGTGAGGGCGGAGCTGCACAGAAGACGACCTTCATCATCATCAGACCAGGTCCATGTTTGGAAGTTACCTGCTCCACCACCATCTTCTGGTCCTCAAAGATCTTGGAGTAGTTCTCATGGATGTACTTCTCCTTCCAGTCCTGCAAACACACACAGACAGACCTTCAGCCCCTCAAGCTCCGCCCCCTCATGTCTTCATGTTCATTCATTGGTTCATAAACCTGACCACAGGGTTGTCAAAGATCTGCCACATGTCCGGGTGAAGTCTGGACGTGTTGTAGTTGGCCGACGCCACCAGGCGACCAAACTCGTCACGGTTGGACACGAACATGAAGACCCCCTGAGGACACACACGTGGATCAGGTTTCAGACAGACCCCCTTACTTTAGTATGAGTCCAGCTGTGACCTCTGACCTACCTGGTCTCTGACGCCCCTGCAGAAGACCATGTCCGGGTCCATCCCCTCGGCCTCGAACAGGCTCACCTGAGACAGCTTCGACCTCAGGACGCTACCTTTGACCAGGTACGCCTGAGAGATGTAGGGGACATTCCAGAGACCGCTACACGCACGCACACACACGCACACACACACACACACACACACACACACACACACACACACACACACACACACACACACACACAGATCACCAGGGGGAACTCTTTAACTGAACAGCTGACAATGGTTTTTCAGGAACTAAACGGGTCCAGACCTTTACAGACACACAGAGAGCTAGTCCAGGACAGTTACCCCCAATTTCCACCGCATCTGGAACGGCTCAGATTTGGAACAGCAGCAATTTCTCGCCGTCCGCCAATTCCTACATTTGTGAGGCTAATTTTTTACAGTTCTTCGTTGACAGGACACCTGGACTTACTTGGGACGTTTCGCCTAAAAAGAGTGTTACCGCCAATTCCCACCGCATCCGGAACGGCTCTGGTCTGGAATGGCAGCGATTTTCGCCTTCCGCCAATTCCTATTGGATTCGTTGGTGAAGCGAATTTCGTGGCGGATCATGGACAACAGTAATCGGGTCAACTCACAAGAAGGAAGAATACGACCGTAGACGTTCAGGATGGGGTGGAAATTGGGGGTAACACTCTTTTGGAAAGGACAGTTCCTTCTTGAAAAGGACTGTCCTTTCAACGAAGAGTTGGAAATCATAGATGCTGCATCCTCAGTTTTAGACAACATCTCCAGGTTTAGGAGGAACATCTGCGTCCATCCAGACAAAGACTTTTTCAGGGAAGACCTTCAGATGATCCCAAACCACATTCAGACAACAGTTGAAATGTGGAATGTCGAACTCTTGTGATCAGCTGAGGAGTCCGGCGATCCTCAGAGGAACGGAAAGAAGTCGGTGTAAATTGACACGTTAACTTGAATGGTTACGATCAGCTACGATCGGAGGATACGACCTTTTAGGAGACGATCAGGATGAAGGTGGAGATTGGGGGTTAGTTGTGTCCAGAAGTGACCATATTTGGATAAGAGGGTGGAGGCGTGGGCGTGTTTGACCTCTAATAAACCCTGAAGTCCAGTCTGTTCAGCAGCGGTTTGAATTCACACCTCAGCTGGTCTCATTTGGGTCAGTGTGTGTGTGTGTGTGTGTGTGTGTGTGTGTGTGTGTGTGTGTGTGTGTGTGTGCACTCACATCCTCTTGCCCTGGACGATCTCGATGTAGTCCTCGGACCTGGAGTAGAACCCCTCAGGACTCAGAGCGCCCCAGAAGTTACTCCACAGTTTCCCGTGTTTGGACAACATCGGAGCGATGACCGACCTGGAGGACAGACAGAAGGTCAGAAGGTCAGGAGGTGGGGACGGGGGGGGGGGCAGTCATGTTACTGGGGGGGACTGGGGAGTCCTCTTTTGGTCCTTCATACTTGTTTTCCTCGATCAGGATCCTCAGGGTCTCCGGGTTGGTCAACGCCACGTCTGAGTCGATGCTGAAGTAATAATCACAGTCCGGGTCCTTCTTACACGCCTCTCTGCGCACACACACACACACACATATCAGAGGTCAGAGGTCAGGACTCTGAAATGGTTCTGGTTCTGGGACACTCACACAGCCATGGTCCGGGCCTTGTTGTCGGTCAGGTTCTCCTCCGGTCCCACCAGGACGGCGTCGGGGAACAGAGATCTGTGACGCTCCCAGAACTTGTGGAGGTGACGCTCGTGGTAGACCACCTGAGGAGAACACGGAGACACGGACATGAGAGCGGGACACGTGAGGAGGGGGCGGGGTCTGTGTTCTGACGGGGACCTACGTTGTTGTGGATGAAGAGGCGGATCCTGGTCAGGGGGTAGTTCAGGGTCGTCAGGCGGTCCAGGAACTCCTCCATGAAGGGGGTGGCGTGTTCGATAAAGACGCCGATGTAGACCAGAGGCATCTCCTCGTCCTGAACACGCACACACACACACACACACACACACACGCGCACACACACACACAGAACAAAGTCAGGTCTGGTGTTTCTTTCATCAATGAAAATTATGACAAAATATCGGGTCCGGGTCTGGGTTCTGCTGATCCTGGATCTGTGTGACCCTGTGGTGACCCTTCAGGTGAAGGTGTGTATGATGATGACCTCGTTAAAGAAGAGCAGGTCTTGGTCACAGATCCCACAGCCCCCCTCGTAGGTCCACGCCGTGGGGACGTAGTTCCCCAGGTAGTTCAGCTGCAGCTGCAGAGACACACACACACATTCAGATCCTGTCCTCACATGCTGCTGATGGAGGCCTGTGATTGGTCCGTTACCTTGGTTGGTCCGTTGCCATGGATAACAACAGGAAGAGTGTCATAGGCCACATTCCTCGCTCTGACCTTTGACCTCTCGAACTTCAGGACGACTTCATCTGACGGACAGAACAGACACTCAGTGTGTGTGTGTGTTTGTGTGTGTGTGTGTGTGTGTGTGTGTGTGTGTGTGTGTGTGTGTGTGCGCTGACTCACCGATGGCGCCGTTCAGGTTCTGGAAGATTCTGGAGCGATGATCCAGAGTCATGTTGAACTTAGTCTGAGGAGAAGAACACGGTTACCATGGAGACTCTGATACTGGTTAACCTGGTACATCGATGGTTAAACTGGTTAAACTGGTTTCCATGGTACCCTCTGCTTCTTGTCCAGGTAGATCTTGGTGTAGAACAGCTGGTCGTCGTCGTTGTCTTTGTACTTCCACTGTTGGACGATGGTGCTGAGGTCGGCGGCGAATCCGATAAACCCTGAACACAAACACACAGACCGCCATGACCACGATGAAGACCAGGACAAAGACCGGGACAAAGACCAGGACAAAGACCGGGACAAAGACCGGGACAAAGTTGGAGCCGTCCCTCAGAAAAACCTGGTTCCAGTCCAGACCTGCATACAGACCAACTTGGGTCCAGAATCAGGTCCTCAGACTTGGTCTCACCTCCGGAGTTGAGGAAGCGTTTCCCGGTGTGGACCTCGGGGTATTTGGAGGCCAGTCTCTGGTCGGGCCAGCAGAACCCCTCAGCCGAGAAGACCACCCTGTGACCCAGACGAGAGAACTTGGACAGGAGCTCCCCGGGACCGGACGCAAAGATGACGTCATAGCTGCGGGGGGGGGGCAGACACTTTTAGACTTAAAAAGACAGTAAAATGAAATAAAAAAACACCTTTATAAACATTTTAAAAAAAAATTTTTTAAATACTTTTAAACTTTTAAAAAATAAATAAATAAATAAAAAAGCCTTTTTTAACTTTTTAAAAAAATTTGAAAAAACTTTTAAACCTAAAAAACTTAGAATAAAAAAATACAAAAGAAATGTTTAAAAACATTTAAACTTTAAAAAAATTTAAAAAAAAAAGATTTCAAAACTTCTGAACTTAATTTTTTTAACTTAAAAAATAAAATAAAATTTTCAAGATTTTAAAAATAAAAAAGACTTTCAAAACTTTTAAACTTTTAAAAATAAAATTAAAAAAATTGAAAAACTTTTTAGACTTTCAAAAAATTCAAAAAAAATTTCCAAAAAATTCTGAAAACGTTTTAACTAAAAAAAATTTAAAAAACTACGAAAATTAAAAAAAACTTCTGCAGGTAGGTTGACTTGAGTGGGCTGGACAGCCTGCTGGTGGCGCTCTCAGGTTCAGTCCCACTCAGAGAAATTAAGGGTTAGATTCTGATCTCTATTGAAAACCGAAAACTGGTCCTGTGAGTCCTGGTCCCTGATGGGCTCAGGTGGTTCTCCTCTACAGGACAGACACATGAAACCGGATCACAGCACCACACCTGTGCTCTCCTGAATGAGTGTGAAAGTGGGACAGGTGGGTCAGATTTCACACACACACACACACACACACACACACACACACACACACACACACACACACACACACACCTGTCCTTACCTGTCCACAAACATGATGACCAGGTCTTTCCTCTCCGAGTGTTTCAGCAGCTCCCTCTTCAACCATCTGACCTTCTGACCTCCACCCACCGTCCGAGCCACGTCTCCACCTTTCCAGTCCTCACCCAGACCCAGGACCTGGAACCACAGCCGTCACCATGACAACATGACCCGTGTATGTGTGCATGTGTGTGTGTGTGTGTTAAGTGAGTGTCTGTTACCTTCACGGTGTAGTTGAACTCTCGGGCCGTCCTCATGAAGCGGTTGAATCCGTCGGTCTCCTCGGTGGCCGCCGTGATCACCAGAAGGTCATCTAAGGACACACAGAGGAGGTCTGAGCTGGTCCAACTCTAGACCAGGACTAACTAAACCTGGACACAGACTAACTGAACCCAGACTGACTAAACCTGAACACAGACTAACTAAACCTGAACACAGACTGACTAAACCTGAACCCAGACTAACTAAACCTGAACCTAGACTAACTAAACCTGAACCCAGACTAACTAAACCTGAACCTAGACTAACTAAACCTGAGCTCAGACCTACTAAAACCAGACTAACTGAGCCTGAACACAGACTAACTAAACCTGAACCTACCTAACTAAACCCAGACTAACTAAACTTGAACCTAGACTAACTAAACCTGAACACAGACTAATCTGAACACAGACTAACTAAACCTGAACACAGACTAATCTGAACACAGACTAACTAAACCTGAACCAAGACTAACTGAACCTGAACCTAGACTAACAAAAGCTGAACCCAGACTAACTAAACCCAGACTAACTAAACCTGAACCTAGACTAACTAAACCTGAATCTAGACTAATCTGAACCTAAACCCAGACTAATCTGAACCCAGACTAACGAAACCTGAACCTAGAATAATCTGAACCCAGACTAGACTAACCTGAACCCAGACTGACTAAACCTGAACCCAGACTAACTAAACCCAGACTAACTGAACCTGAACCCAGACTAACTAAACCTGAACCCAGACTTATTAAACCTGAACCTAGACTAACTAAACCCAGACTGACTAAACCTGAACCCAGACTAACTGAACCTGAACACAGACTAACTTAACCCAGACTAACTGAACCTGAACCCTCACACCCTGAACTCTTTATTTAGAAAAAGTTCCTGTAGAGTCAAAGAAATACTGAACACAAGACCACAGCGCCTGCCCCTCACGGTATTTTATTTTGAAGGAAGGTAGGGGAAGGTCCCGCCTCTTTCGCCTCTGATTGGCTGTGAAACATCATCACACGCTCAAGCTGAGCGCGGGCTGTCGGCCCGGAACATCGAAAAGAGCATAACAGAACATTATCGCAGTTCTGAACCTCCTAACCGGACCGACGATGATGTTTCACAGCCGTAAGGAATAACCAATCAGAGCCCAGCACTTCTAGCCAATCAGAGGCAAAGGAGGGCGGGACCTTCCCCTGCCTTCCTACAAAAAATCCTGCCTCCCTCTCTCTTTCTTCCCCTCTCTCCCATTCCGTCTCTCTCTATTCCTCTCTTCCTCGCTCCCTCGCCCCCTCACTCTCTACCTTCCCCCCTCCCCCTCTCTCTCCCTCCCTCTCTCTCCCCCTCTCTCCAGACTTTCGAGGAATTTCTCTCCCCCGGCCCTGTTAGCAGAGTCTCTCAGAGGTGAGGGGGTGAGGAGGGGGTGTATTTGGGGACAGAGGGTTCCTTGTCCCAGGTCGGTCCGGGTTTTTCAGGAAACAGCTGCTTACATCAGACATTAGCTTCACTCTCAGCCAATCAGAGAGGGTCTTACTGAATCTGCTCTGGTTTCATCAGAAAGACTTTAATCTTCACAGGAAACAGGAAACACACACACACACACACACACACACACACACACACACAGCTGTACAAACACACACACACACACAGTAAATCAGCTCCACTCCGACTCCAAACACTCGCTCCGTCGTCTCGCCCCGCTCTCTCCAGCTGATGACCTGACCCCTGACCCTGAGCGAGTCTAACACCAGCAGAACCAGCACCATCAACCCCCAGACCTCCTCTGAGCCCCCTCTCTCCAGTGGTCTGAAACCAGTTTAACCAGTTAAAGCAGACCCAGCCCACACACAACTTTACCTCCAATGAGAGACGAGAACCACACCAACGACCAATCAGTGAACGGAAGAGTGACGTCCAGAGCCGTCAAACAGGAACCACACATCAGACCGGACCGGCCCAGGGTCCGACACGGGGACGACCGGGAACCAGGTCATCGGATATTCAAGAGCCTTTATGACGAGTCGGGCTGGACGAAACGCTGATTTAAATGACGATTCTACGATATTGACGATTTTCTGGATTTTTATTTGGCATTTTTAACGCCAATAAAACATGATTATGATCAATGACTGACTATTCCAGGAACCATATTTCCTTAAAAAAAACATCGACGTCAGTTTTTTAGATTTATTCTTACATTTGAAAATAAAATCGATTTGAAAACGGAAAACTAAAAATCACGACACTTCTGTGAATCGATTTTTTCTCCCGCCCCTGAAATTAAAAACCAAAATCAGATTTTTTTCTTCATTTTTTTAAAGTAAGGCTGTTTGTGAAGAACTGAAATATCCATCAAAAGACCTGGAGAGACCTGGTGAGACCTTAGAGGTCCGGACTGGAGGGACAAAAGACCTGAACTTTTGAACTGGACCGGCTTCGTTTAATCCTCCCACTAGAGTGTGTTTAGGACCTGAGGACAGATGTGGACAGTGTGGTGTCTGAACGAAGAAGACCACCCTGTGACCCAGACGAGAGAACTTGGACAGGAGCTCCCCGGGACCGGACGCAAGGATGACGTCATAGCTGCGGGGGGGGGGGGCAGACACTTTTAGACTTAAAAAGACAGTAAAATGAAATAAAAAAACACCTTTAAAAACATTTAAAATTATTTTTTTTTAAATACTTTTAAACTTTAAAAAAATAAATAAATAAATAAAAAAGCCTTTTTTAACTTTTTAAAAAATTTTGAAAAAACTTTTTAACCTAAAAAACTTAAAAAGAATAAAAAAATACAAAAGAAATGTTTAAAAACCTTTAAACTTTAAAAAAATTGAAAAAAATATTTCAAAACTTCTGAACTTAATTTTTTAAACTTAAAAAATAAAATAAAAGATTTAAAAACTTTTAAAAACTTTCAAGCTTTTAAAAATAAAAAAATAAAAAAGACTTTCAAAACTTTAAAACTTAAAAAAATTAAATAAAAAAATTTGAAAAACTTCTTAGACTAAAAAAATTCAAAAAAAATTTTCAAAAAAATTCTCAAAACTTTTTAACTTCTGCAGGTAGGTTGACTTGAGTGGGCTGGACAGCCTGCTGGTGGTGCTCTCAGGTTCAGTCCCACTCAAAGAAATTAAGGGTTAGATTCTGATCTCTGAGGACAGATGTGGACAGTGTGGTGTCTGAACGATTGTTCATGAACTCCATTAACGTGCCGTTCTTTATCTGCGTATGAACGCGTCGGTGTTGAACGCTCATTCTGGCGTCTGTGAGCGGCGTTCTAAACTCCGTTCACAGGTGTGTCAGATGTTGGAAAAGTAAAATAAACGTATAAATATATAAATAAACTCTAGAGATGAACGTTAGTGAGGACTGAACTAAACATCAGGGAGACACCGGTAATCTGAGGGCTGACCTCTCTGCTGTAAACCTGCAGATGAAGATTAAACTGACGGAGTTTCAGAGTTAATATAATCCGTCTGTGGTTCGATATGAGCGCCATAAAAAATCTGGACAAATAAAAACTTACAGCAAAAAAAAAAAGAACTAAATCAGTTCTTTTTTGGGAACCATGAAAATGTGGAATTATGAACGATGAACGATGAACTTTGAACGAGTTCAGGTAGAAAAGGAACTTTCCCAAAGTTGGATGTGGCCGAGTCTGAGTCCAAGTTCTGGAAAGTTCCTCCAGAGAGACTCGGACTCTGAGCAGTGACGGTCCAGACCATAAAGATCCAGATCAGATCTTTGAAATCCAGAATTTACCTGTAAAAACACCTTCACACACACGGACTGATTCCTGCTTCAGAGTCAATAAAGTTCGTTCGTCATCCTGATCGGCCCGATCTTCGATATGTTATCGGTGAGGATAGATCGGTATCTCTGTGTATTAATCCAGTTGATTTGTCCTAATATCGGCTGATGTGACAGACTAAAGTCGGATCTGTGGATAAACGCAGACCTCCACCTCTCTGCAGTTTAATAAACTCTTCTCTGGTTTAAAGGGACAGTTATGGAGAATTAATGGAAATCAATGGCTGTAAAATTCCTGATAGTTAGCCCCGGAGCTAAAGTGGAAGTTCGGGACTAAATCTGGATGTTTGGACCTTAATTTAAACTTCTGTCATTATAATCCTGACCTGACTCGGACTAACAGATCTCGACTAAAACCTAAAACAGTTCATTATCGGTGAATTCAGCGGCGGTTATCTCACAGACCTACAGCCGGGCGGACAGCAGCACCAGCGGGTCAGGGTGGTCCGCCTGGCCGGGCAGAGGAGCCTGCTGAGCGGCCTTACCTGGAGAGAGCCTCCGCTGCTCGGCGGACACGGAGCTCCGGACGAAGGCGAGGAGCAGCAGCGAGAGAAGGCGGCAGGAAGACATCTCTGCTGGGCTGAAGAAGACAGAAAAACCCGCTGAAGAGGAACCGGACTGTCCTCCGACTGTGGATCCTTCCTTCTTTCCTTCTTTCCTCTCCTTTTCTCCTCACTCACTCACTTACACACGCTTCTCAACGGGATGAAATCTCGCGATATTTCTCCCTACAGATTTACAAACAGATCAATAGGGAAACGGCGATATGGCCCCGCCCATTCAACAAGGATTAGCCAATAAAGGAGCTCTAACCTTGACTGATGAGGTCACTGACCAATCAGAGGAGGACAGATGGAAATCAGCGGGCTGTGATTTCAGAGGAGCCCGGGGCGACAGAAAGTTCGTGAAAATGGAGAAAGTGAGTGTGTGTGTGTGCGCGCGTGTGTGTGTGTGTGTGCCACGTCTGAGGCATTCCTGAGAGAGAGAGAGAGAGAGAGAGAGAGAGAGAGAGAGAGAGAGTTAAAGAGAGAAGGGGCGTGGTTCCTCAAAACTCCTAAATTCTAGAATTTTCTCTTTGATCTTTAATTTTTTCTCATTTCCTTTGAACTTTCCGGTCTTTGTGACGTCAGACATGAACGATGACGACAAAAAAGAATAAAAACAAAATTAGAAAAAATAAAATTCACTTTTTACAAAATTTTAAAAACCCAAAAGTTCATGTAAAGTGAGTCAACATGAAAAGAAAATAACTATCTATATATATATATATATATATATATATATATATATATATATAGTTATTTTCTTTTCATGTTGACTCATATATATATATATATATATATATATATATATATATATATATATAGCAAAAACTATCTATATATATATATAGATAGATAGATAGATAGATATATAGATAGATAGATAGATATGTATTTTATTCGTTTCTATTTTTAGTGTCTCTGTATAGTAGATTTCTACAACGGAGTATTAGGGTCACATTAAGAAATAAAATATTAAAGTCGTTAATTTAGGAGAATAAAGTGGTGAAAAAGTCCCTCTGTTCTGACCTGCTGTTGAAGATGACAGCTTTGAAACCAGAGCGATGGAGAATTTAGTGACAATGAACCTTAATAAAAGTTTATCAAACAAGGAGATACTTTAATCTGTAGGAACATCAGCACCACATCATCATAAATACAGCAGTAGGAGTAGATTTAGACTTTATTCTGGTAAATTAACGACTTTAATCTCGAAGTCTTTAACTGTTTATTTCTTCATCTGAGCCTGATACTCGGTCGTATCAAACCCTGTCAGACCCTACAGTACAAAGCAGGACTATCATTCATTACATCCGAACACTGTCTAATACAGAATAATTAAAAAACGATCATTAATCTCATTATTACTGAACAGACTCAGCAGAGGAGATCAAACTCGGAATGAAACAGAGTCAGACCTCATTAAAACCGTAATTATCAACGAAAATACCGTCATAAAGGATCCTGCAACACCATGAACTACAACTCCCATGATGCAGGTCGTCACGTGTTGCCATGGTAACGCGACAACAGCCAGGCCACCGACGGAGCAGAAAACAGGTCAAATAATAACAGACTCCGTTTTCGACGATAGATGCTGAGTTGGAGCTGTGTCCGTGTTTAACCCACTGTCACTGTGATTCTTTACCTCCGTGTTTGTTCTCTGTTTACCAAAGTCTGAGTCACACTCCTGTGTTCCTCCTCCTCCTCGTCCTCCTCTGGTTGGAGCTGCTGCTGCTGTGTGAGGATGAAGTTCTTCACTCCCACTGAGGTGTCCGCTCACAACACTGCAGCCGACCTGTGGGTGTCGTTCCTGGGTAAAGTCTGTGACCTGACCCCTCTGATGGAGCAGCACAAAGGTGAGACCCCCCAACATCACACCTGGACTACCTGAGGATATATATATATGTATATATATATATATATATATATATATATATATATATATATATATATATATATATATATATATATATATATATATATATATATATATATATATATATATATATATATATATATAATATAATATATATAAATATATATATATTATATTATATATATACATACATATGTATATATATATATGTATATGTATATTTATTATATATATATATAATATATATGTATATACACCCACACATATAGACACACATTATATATATTTATATATAATGTGTGTCTATATGTGTGTATATATATATGCATATGACTGTGCGTATCTATAGATATGTGTGTGTGTGTGGAATGTATATGTTTGTGTGTGTATATATGTGTGTGTGTGTATATACATGTGCTGAGAGAGTGCTGATCCACGGTTCAAACAGCTGATCCACATGTTGGATAAAAGTGGGCGGAGCTTCCAGGAGCCGCTCTTACATGAGTAAATAAAGGGTCAGTCTGCAGAGTTTGTTTATTTTAACGTTTATCGTGTTCCTCTGCAGGCGACGACCTCCTCTTACCCATCATGCAGTGCGCAGGGAAGGACATCAGCTACTGGTTCGACCCTGAGACAAAAGACGTGAGCGCCAATCAAACCAGAGAACCAATCAGAGAGCAGCTTTATCTCTCCGCCTGGTTTACCTGTGTGCACCTGTCCTCTGTCCCAGGTCTTGACGTACGTCGATCCGCTGACCCACTGTGACAGGTACTTCACCCCCGCCGGGCGCTTCCTGCACGTCCCCCCCGCCGGCCCCCGCTCTGACTGGGCCAGCGTCATCGGGCCGCCGTGGTGGAAGGACCGACGCTACGAGGTGGGCCTGCTGTCGGCGAAGACCAGGTGGATACGGGTCATCAACCTGCTGACATCACAGGAGCAGAGGCTACAGGTGAGCCGTCCAATCAGGGCGCAACAACACAAGTGTAGCTCCGCCTCCTGAACATCAGAGTTTATCAAGTGTCCTCAGCTGGGTGACCTTTAACCTTCTGCTCCTCAGGTGTGCTCAGAGGAGACCCTGGCGGAGATCCTCCAGCGTTACCTCCCGTACAACTCTCACGCCGGCAGCTACACCTGGAAACACGGCGGCGAGCGTCTGGACATGAGCCTGACGCTCAGCGAGAACAACGTCCCCGATGAAGACCAGGAGCTGCAGGAGCTGAGACTGGACCAGGACCTCTACACCCCCGCCATCCACCTCCACTTCAACGACGACCTCACTGAGGGATGACCTCTGAACTTTACCCCAACCAATGACGAGTGAGGAGACCCGGGACATGACCAAGACAAAGACCGTCACCTGACCAAGACCACCACCTGGACTTCTGAAGAAGAGCTGAAGGCCAGACTGAGACTCGAGAGGAACTCTGTAGAACCTCCAAACCCAATAAAGTCTGATCCTGAAACCAAACATGGTACCAACTTTACTGAACCAGCAGGTCCAGGTTCTGTAGACCTTAGTGGACCCAGTAGACCAGGTTCTGTAGACCTTAGTGAACCAGCAGGTTCAGGTTCTGTAGACCTTACTGAACCAGCAGGTCCAGGTTCTGTAGACCTTAGTGAACCAGCAGGTCCAGGTTCTGTAGACCTTAGTGGACCCAGTAGACCAGGTTCTGTAGACCTCAGTGAACCGGCAGGTCCAGGTTCTGTAGACCTTAGTGGACCCAGTAGACCAGGTTCTGTAGACCTTAGTGAACCGGCAGGTCCAGGTTCTGTAGACCTTAGTGGACCCAGTAGACCAGGTTCTGTAGACCTTAGTGAACCAGCAGGTCCAGGTTCTGTAGACCTTAGTGAACCAGCAGGTCCAGGTTCTGTAGACCTTAGTGGACCCAGTAGACCAGGTTCTGTAGACCTTAGTGGACCCAGTAGACCAGGTTCTGTAGACCTTAGTGAACCAGCAGGTCCAGGTTCTGTAGACCTTACTGAACCAGCAGGTCCAGGTTCTGTAGACCTTAGTGAACCAGCAGGTTCAGGTTCTGTAGACCTTACTGAACCAGCAGGTCCAGGTTCTGTAGACCTTAGTGAACCAGCAGGTCCAGGTTCTGTAGACCTAAGTGAACCAGCAGGTCCACGTTCTGTAGACCTTAGTGAACCAGCAGGTCCACGTTCTGTAGACCTTAATGAACCAGCAGGTCCAGGTTCTGTAGACCTTAGTGAACCAGCAGGTCCAGGTTCTGTAGACCTAAGTGAACCAGCAGGTCCAGGGTCCTCATTTATCAACGGTTCGTACGAACATTCAAAGTCTGGACTTGTTCTTAGGATCGTGAGTAAACTCTGAGCGTACACTCAAACCCTAGTGGTCGAACAGTGGAACTACAACTAGATTCGCCATCGCCGGATTCCCATTCAGGCATTTTTAAAGGGATTGTTGATACCATATATGGTCAATAGGAGGCGTGTCTGAATGTAAATGACCCTCACCATGAACGAGAACGTGTTCTTATTCAACATTTCATTCATAAATGAGGACCCTGGACTCTGATGATCCTCAGACCAACAGGGATGCTGGATTTGGACTTGGAGCTGAGAACGTGTCTGGTGGCGTTGATTCCAGGTGTGGCGTTTGCACTTGGAAGTTGTTGCCGTAAATAAACAACACGTGGTCAAAGGCCTGGACGTCCACGGAGGACAACAGCGGTGGTGAAGAAAACCCTCTTTCACTACATCCACTCGAGTGAAGATCCCTCTCCAGGACGACGGTGTATCAGACTTCAGGAGAGGAAAACTCAGAGGGTTCACCACAAGGTGCCTCAAAAACAGGAAGACCAGAAAACACCTGAAGAAGAAACCAGCCCAGTTCTGGAACATCTGTCTTTGGACAGATGAGACGAAGATCAACCTGGACCAGGATGATGGTTTGGAGAAGAACTGGAGCAGCTCATGATCTTCTGTCAAACATGATGGAGGCAGGATGAATTCTGAAGCGTATCAGGATCGACTTTCTGCTCAGATTCAGCCGAGTCAATCATCAGATCTCAACCCGACCATCGAGCGTGCGTTTCTCTCCATCAAGACAAAACTGAAGGAAGAAAGACCCTCAAACAAGCAGCAACTGAAGACGTCTGCAGTAAAGACCTGCTGACAAAGACTCACACAGGAGGAACCCCAGAGTTTACTATTTAGGGTTGAGTTTGTCTGTCCAGGAACTTCTGAGCGTTTGTTTAAAATTCCTTCATGTTTCATCATTTATATCTTTGAATTAAACCTTCGAGTCTGAACTTCTGTTGTTGTTGTTTCATTTCTAATCTGATGTGGCGACACGCAGAGTCCAGATCATGAAGATGGTGTCACTGTCCAAATACTTCTGGGCCTGTAACTCTACGCTTTCTAGATCTAGACTTACTTAAGGCGAAACGTCTCAAGTAAGTCTAGATGTCCTTTCCACTCCAGAGTCCTGCCTGTCTGTTGGTCTGCCTGTCTGTCTGCCTGCCTGTCTGTCTGTCTGTCGGTCTGTCTGTCTGTCTGTCTGCCTGCCTGCCTGTCTGTCTGTCTGTCTGTCTGTCTGCCTGCCTGTCTGTCTGTCGGTCGGTCGGTCTGTCTGTCTGTCTGCCTGTCTGCCTGTCTGTCTGTCTGTCTGTCTGTCTGTCAGTCAGTCAGTCTGTCTGTCTGTCTGTCGGTCTGTGGGTTCTTGAGTGTGAACTTTCTCGTAAACACGTTCTCGTTTGAGGAAGTTTGGACAGAAACCGTTTCCTTCTCCAGATTTTCTGATTATCTCATGAGAATTAAAGGAAGCGAGCGCCGAGTGTGATTCATAAACAAACAGAGAAATGTGATGAAATGTTGGACGGCGTGTTAAAAATGATGAGCGGACAGTTTTTCAAACAGTAGCTGGATGTTCGGAGGAAGAAGAAGAAGAAGAAGAAGAAGAAGAAGAGCGAGAGTCGTGGTGTTTCTGCAGACTAACCTGATCCTGGACCGAGATCTTTGAGGAGGTCAGTCTGTGTGTTTGAGTGAGTCTCTCCTGCTGCAGACTGAACCGTCTGTGGTCGTTTGGACAGGATGATGATTGGACAGAACCAATCCAGTATCAATGATCAGCTCCAATAATCAATCAGAGTTTCTCTCCAACAGACATGACTGACTATCATCGAGGGAAAGAGCAGGACACCAGCTTCCTCTGGATCAAAGGTACACACCTCTCTGTCTGTGGCTCTGTCTGTGTCTGTGGGTCTGTCTGTCTGTGGCTCTGTCTGTGTCTGTGGGTCTGTCTGTCTGTGGCTCTGTCTGTGTCTGTGGGTCTGTCTGTCTGTGGGTCTGTCTGTCTGTGGGTCTGTCTGTGTCTGTGCATCTGTCTGTCTGTGGGTCTGTCTGTGTCTGTGCATCTGTCTGTGTCTGAGGGTCTGTCTGTCTGTGGGTCTGTCTGTGTCTGTGGCTCTGTCTGTGTCTGTGCATCTGTCTGTGTGTGGGTCTGTCTGTGTCAGTCCAACAAGAGACAGTCTGTCATCACCTCAAACACTGACTATTGACACAATAAAGTTACTGACCATGTCTGCATCTGTGTGTCTGTGTCTGTTAACCTGTCTGTATTTCTGTCATTCTGTCTGTATTTCTGTCTGTCCTTATGTCTGTATTCCTGTCTGTATTTCTGTCTGTATTCCTGTCTGTCTTGTGTCTGTATTTGTCTGTTGTTCTGTCTGTCCTTGTGTCTGTATTTTTGTCGTTCTGTCTGTATTTCTGTCTGTCCTTGTGTCTGTATTCCTGTCTGTATTTCTGTCTGTCCTTGTGTCTGTATTTTTGTCTGTCCTTGTGTCTGTATTTGTGTCTGTCCTTGTGTCTGTATTTCTGTCTGTTCTTGTGTCTGTATTCCTGTCTGTATTTCTGTCTGTCCTTGTGTCTGTATTTCTGTCTGTCCTTGTGTCTGTATTCCTGTCTGTCCCTGTGTCTGTATTTCTTTCTCTTCTTGTGTCTGTTGTTCTGTCTGTCCTTGTGTCTTTATTCCTGTCTGTCCTTGTGTCTGTTGTCCTGTCTGTATTTCTGTCTGTCCTTGTGTCTGTATTTTTGTATTCCTGTCTGTCTTTCTGTCTTTATTCCTGTCTGTCCTTGTGTCTGTATTCCTGTCTGTATCTGTCTGTTCTTGTGTCTGTATTCCTGTCTGTATTTGTGTCTGTATTTCTGTCCGTATTCCTGTCTGTATCTGTCTGTATTTGTCTGTATTTTCGTCCTTGTGTCTGTATTCCTGTCTGTATTCCTGTCTGTTCTTGTGTCTGTATTCCTGTCTGTCCTTGTGTCTGTATTCCTGTCTGTCCTTGTGTCTGTATTTTTGTCGTCCTGTCTGTATTTTTGTCTGTCCTTGTGTCTGTTGCTCTGTCTGTATTCCTGTCTGTCCTTGTGTCTGTATTTCTGTCTCTTCTTGTGTCTGTTGTTCTGTCTGTCCTTGTGTCTGTATTCCTGTCTGTCCTTGTGTCTGTATTCCTGTCTGTATTCCTGTCTGTATTCCTGTCTGTATCTGTCTGTATTCCTGTCCGTCCCTCAGATGGCGTCCCTCTCCCCCTCTCCGTCGTCTCCGTGGTCAAACGTTGGTTGTTTCCTGTTCTGACGGTCGTCGTTATCCTGATATTGATTATTGTTCTGGGAGCCACCAGTGAGTATTCACACACACACACACACACACACACACACACACACACACACACACACACACACTGTACTGATGCTCATGTTGTCTTAGATTACTGCATTGTTTCTTTATAAGCCCATATATGGTCATTACTTCCTTATAAAAACGAACATTGACTCGTCTGATTTAATCCTGAGTTTCCTGCGTCACTCAGTGAAGTTTGTGTTTATGAACAGATACAAAGACGTCCAATCGTCTGATGTCTGCAGAGAAGCGCATTTCGAACCTGAGCGACGTCATCAAATCTCTGAACACCTCGCTGCAGCGAGCTCAAGGTACGAAAGAGAAGGAAGTCTGTGGCCTCACGGTGAACCCTTTAAACGCTTCGTCTCATTCTGAGGTTCGAGTTTGAGCAGCAGAAACGTTTCATTCAAAATAACCTTCATCCAGTCAGTCTGTTAGAGAAAATATATATATATGTGTTTATATTCATTTATATATATATGAATATAAATATAAACATATATATGTTTATATTCATTTATATATATATGAATGAGCCACAGACACCTGGACTGTGTCTGTATCAGGCTGTAAACAGGTTTTAACATGGGGCTCTATGGGGACTGACTCACTGCAGGACACAGCCTCTAGTGGACACTGGAGGAAGTGCATTC